CGCCGCCTTTCGCGACAGGGCTCCAAGGTGCACGTCAGCGCCGACTGGGACGCTACAAGCCCGGCCGCGGGCTCTGGCGCCAGCGCTGATGCTACACGCGCCCATCCCAAGGCCACCATAGAGCCTCAGTCGCTCGACGGCATTACGCCCCAGACGATCTTTTTCAGCGCCAAGACCGACACACGCGCCGCGACGTCTGCGAGCGAAGGCGCGAGTGCGTACACAGGCACGTTCCGGTCGCAGGACGATGAGTCTTTTTCGGCGCAGGTGGCGCGGCGGCGTCTGCAGGGCCAGCGGACGGCGAGCGAGGGCTCGCTGGGCGGACCCATCGCGGACATGAGGCGGCGCATGGGTGCAGCACAGATCGGCGACTCGCAGCCATCGACGTTCTCGACGCGCCTGTCGAGCCTGCAGGAAGAGCAATCCGAGGCAAAGCACCGCAGCCATGCAGCACCGAGCTCGCCGAGTGCGCTGTCGCAGCAGGCCCAGGCGCGACTGGGCGTCGGAAAAGCAAGTCCGGCGGTGGCGTCGACGGCGTTCACAGCGATAGGGACGATGACGGAGGCCTCGGCGCGCGCGCGCAAGCTGCACGCAGCGAATGCACAGGCCTCGACACGACCGACACCGTCAGGCTCGCGAGCATCTACGGTGCGAGGCGGCGACGCCGGCAAACTCGGCGCAGCAGCTCCGATCGATGGCAGCTCGGGCACAACCTTCACCAGCACCTACGATGGCAACGATCCGTACATCCGCGCGCATCTCGAGGCGGTGTATCTGGATTCATTCCGGGACCGGCCGGAGCTAGGACCCAAGGTCCAAGCGGGTGTGGCGCGGCGCCGCGGTGGCGGCTGGAATCGGAGCTCGACGCTGCCGCGCGTGCCGACTTCGAGCAGCAGCAAGCGCCGACCAGAAGGCCGGCTGATTGCCTACTTTACCGAACATACTGCGGCGGTGACGTGTCTTGCGCTTTCGCCGGACCATGCGTACTTTGTCTCGGGCTCTGCCGACGGTACCCTCAAGGTGTGGGACACGGCACGGCTCGAGAAGAATGTGACGTCCAAATCGCGCGCCACGTACGCGGCTCAAAAGGGCGCCATCACGGGCGTGATTGCGATTGAGGGCAGCCACTGCGTTGCGTCGACGGCGACCGACGGCTCGCTGCACGTGTGGCGCATCGAGATGGTGCAGTCCACGTCGTCGGTGCCGCGGTACGGCCGGCCGAAGCTGGTGTCCAACTTCCAGCTGAGCACGCCGGACGAGTATGCCAACTGCCTCGTGCAGAGCAGCACCGAGACAGCCTCGCACCTCATTTTGGGCAAGT